AGGTACGACACGCACGCACACACACAGGTACGACACGCACGCACAGACACAGGTACGACACGCACGCACACACACAGGTACGACACGCACGCACACACAGGTACGACACGCACGCACACACACACACACAGGTACGACACACACACAGGTACGTGAGACACACACACAGGTACGACACACACTCCTCGTGGCTGTAGGGGGCTTCTTTACCTCCTTGTTTACTTACCTCCTTTCCTCCTTATTTCATAATTAGGGAGCATAATAACTGCATCATAATAATAATAATAATAACTTACTTCCATGTTTCCTCGGGAAGCTTCTTTACTTCCGTGTTTCCTCGGGAAGCTTCTTTACTTCCGTGTTTCCTCAGTTAATTATCACGTTAAAAGCCTCAGATTGTTTGAATCGCTGCTTGGGGACGTTTGTTGTTTCTTCTCTGACTCCCACCTCCACATATGCTCATCCATATTTAACGTACGGCATCTAGCATTGTGTGTGTGTGTAGTGTGTGTGTGTGTGTGTGTAGTGTGTGTGTGTGTGTGTGTGTGTGTGTGTGGCTCCCTGCGGTCGGCCACCATCTGCCGTAGTGTGCGACAGAGTAGATGAGTTGATGGAGGATCTGATCCTAAACACAGAACGGTTCATCTCTACGTGTTCCTACGGAGACCAATTAAAACACAGAATAAAAACACATCTGTTTGTGAAGAGCTGATTCACTTCAGGTAAATTGAGAGAAAAGGAGGTAGAGAAGGATCCTTGTCAGTGGGTGAGGAAGCTTTGTAGTGAGGAAGGAAGAAGAAAACTAGATGTCCTCGTTCGGTGGTGAGTAAGCAATAAGGGATGTAAATGTCCTTGTTAGGAGGTAAGGAAGCAAGGAGGTACAAAAAGCATCCTTGTTAGGGGGTGAGGAAGCCTCCTAGTTAAGGAACCAAGGAGGGATATAAATGTCCTTGTTCGGTGGTGAGGAAGCAAGGAGGTAATGATGCTCTCTAGCTGGTAGTGAGGAGTCAAAGAAGGGTCCTAATTAGGTGGGCTGGAAGGTACTTTTAAACGTGGAAGTGTTGACCAATGAGAAGAACAGAGTTTAAAAGTGGTAAGTAGTAATAAAGGTGTGAACAGGTGTTTAAGGGTGTCTGAAGGTGTTTAAGGGTGTCTGAAGGTGTGAACAGGTGTTTAAGGGTGTCTGGAGGTGTGAACAGGTGTTTAAGGGTGTCTGAAGGTGTGCACAGGTGTTTAAGGGTGTCTGAAGGTGTGAACAGGTGTTTAAGGGTGTCTGGAGGTGTTTAAGGGTGTCTGAAGGTGTGAACAGGTGTTTAAGGGTGTCTGAAGGTGTTTAAGGGTGTCTGAAGATGTGAACAGGTGTTTAAGGGTGTCTGAAGGTGTGAACAGGTGTTTAAGGGTGTCTGGAGGTGTGCACAGGTGTTTAAGGGTGTCTGAAGGTGTGAACGGGTGTCTGGAGGTGTGAACAGGTGTTTAAGGGTGTCTGGAGGTGTCTGAAGGTGTGCACAGGTGTTTAAGGGTGTCTGAATGTGTGAACGGGTGTTTAAGGGTGTCTGAAGGTGTGAACAGGTGTTTAAGGGTGTCTGAAGGCGTGAACAGGTGTTTAAGGGTGTCAGGAGGCGTGAACAGGTGTTTAAGGGTGTCTGAAGGCGTGAACAGGTGTTTAAGGGTGGCTGGAGGTGTGAACAGGTGTTTAAAGGTGTCTGGAGGTGTCTGAAGGTGTGACAGGTGTTTAAGGGTGTCTGAAGGTGAAACCAGGTGTGCTATGGAACATGCTCAGTAACTTTGTCTCTTCCTGTCTGCAGCTCGGCCGCCATGTCTAAAGCGACGGTGAAGAAGCTGCACTGGCGCTCGAAGGTAACGATTCATGTTTTAACACCGAGAGAGAAAACAGAGGACGAAGAGGACAGGAGGTCACCTGACTGTGACCTCCTGTCCTCTTCGTCCTCTTTATCTTCTTTGTCCTCTTTCTCCTCTATGTCCTCTTTGTCACTCTTCTTCCTCTTCGTCCGTATCCAGGTACAGGAGAGCTTCGTCCCGCTGGGCGGTGGCTCCGGAGAGCTGGGGCTGGCCATCGGGGGCGGGGCCGACTACGGTGAGTTCCCATTCGTCACTGCGGCCCACGGGGGCGGGGCCACTGTGGGCGACATCATCCTAGAGATCGGGGGGACACCAGTGTTAGGGATGACCCTCGGGGATGTCAGAGGAGTCCTCAACTCCTGTCCTCATCCAATCAGAATCAAGACTGTGTCACCAGGTGAGAGCACACCTTAACATCACTATGACATCGTGTCCTCTGTCCCTCAGGCTCGTCCCTCTGTAGTGACATCACTATGACATCGTGTCCTCTGTCCCTCAGGCTCGTCCCTCTGTAAGGACCTCAGGTTGTACCTCAGTAAGTGTTTCACTCCGGGCTCCATGGACAGTCAGCTGCAGCAGCTCATCAGAGAGAACCTGTACCTGAGAGCTGTTCCCTGTAAGACACACACACACACACACACCTGTGTACACACACACACACACAGACACATACACGCACACAGTCTGTTAACTAAAAGTTTCTCTACCTATATTTTTATACCCGGTCTACTGTGAGGATGACATGTTGGTTTGTTTCTTTAAATTAATGTTCAAAGTTCAGCCTGAAGCAGCTGCAGGTTTCTGTCTGTTAATGATTACTGTGTGTGTGTGTGTGTGTAGTACATAGAGTGTATACGTTTTAGTCCCTAAGAGTGGGAGCTCTTCTCTTTACAGACATGTATTTACATTCAGACTGATCACCTCTCTGAGTCCACTTCCTGGCTCCGCCCCTCTCTGATGACATCACTATGTCCGTCCCCCCCCTACAGGTACGACCAGGCAGCCTCGGGACGGGGAGATCTCAGGTGTGGACTACAACTTTGTGTCCATCGAGGAGTTCTTCTCTCTGGAGGAGTCCGGAGCTCTGCTGGAGAGCGGCAAGTTCAAAGGTACGACAATCCAACGCACCCACGTGTACCGGCCGTTTAAGACCCCCACGGTCACATGATGATGTCAGCAAGTTTACAGAGTGTAAAGTTACATCATCACTGTATGATGTATGTTATATACATATGAGTATGTTTTTACAAAGACTTCATGTACTTTTTACTCTGTAAAATCAGGTTTTTTAATAATTTTAAAGTACAAACTGAGCTTTTGACAGCAGCTCACCTGTCACCTGTCACCTGTATGTTTATGATGAAGTCTGAATGTGATGAACGGTATTTGGGAGGAAAAGAGACTTTAGTGGTTTAATCCAGCGACCTGCTGCGTCCCACTTCTGTTAATCTGAAGGATTAATGAGATTTAAATAGAAACTGAGTTCACTCATGAAAAGAGAACAAAGTGAAACCAGTTAGGAGAAGAATGAGTACGATGTCATCTGGAGATAAAGTTTAAAGATTATTATGAATAAAAAACAAAAAGACAGGAAGTAAACACATGAGGACAGTACCTTTCAAAATAAAACAGGAAATGGACGAAAATAAATGCTACGATCCGTCTGGTCTGTTTAATCTCAAACTGAATATTATCCTGATTTATGATCTCATTTTACTTTGACAGTTCAAAACCCTCTTTCACAATAATGATTTATAATTATATTTATCTTTTATGAATCGTTTATTTGTCTCCTGTTGCGGTTTTAATTTATTTTAGTTTCTCTTTCTGGTTTAATTTTTCTTTCTTTATCGTTATTTTAATTTAAATCATGTGTCATTGATCACTTCCTCCTCTCTGATTACCGATCATATTAATGTGCATTATTTATGATCTACTATATTATCGTTTATAATTTACAGTGTTAAAAATGTCACAATCTCAAATATATATTTGTTCCCTTTTGTCGCCTTCCAATCACAGGGAACTACTACGGGACGCCCCGCCCAGTCCACATCGGTCCAGAGAGTCCACCAATCACATACCAGGAGCACCGGAACCTGCTGAGGAACTTTAGGACCAGGAGCAAATCTCTGAGTAACCTGGAGAAAGCTGTGGAGGAAGGAGACAACAGTGAGGAGGAGACAGGTAGGAGGAGTCAGGGAGGAGGAGGAGTCAGGTAGATAAGAGAAGGAGACAACAGGAAAAAGGAGTCAGGTAGGAGGAGAGGAGGAGGAGGAGACAACAATGAGGAGGATATAGGTAAAAGGAGGAGTCAGTGAGGAGGACTTAGGTAGGAGGGGTCAGGTGGGAGGAGTCAGACAGATCAGAGATGTTCAGTAACATTAAATGAAGGGTTACACATCAGATCAATAACTGAAGCTGATCAGCTTTGTAGTCATGAATCAGGAGCGCTGTGTGTGTGTGTGTGTGTGTGTGTGTTGGTTCATTAAAGACTCACACACTGTCATAGCAGGTTCGGCTGGACTCCCGCCCACCATCCTGCCTCTCAGCCAATCGTGGGAGTCGGCGGTGGGGGGTCGAGAGGGAACGGAAAACGGAGGAGTAGGAAGAGGAAGAGGAGTAGGGAGAAGAAGAGGTCCTCTGCCTGAGAACTGGGAGCTGGCGTTCAGTGATTCAGGAGAGCCGTACTACATCAAGTGAGTTACGATGATTAAAAACATCAATAATGAGATGAATCAGTCTGGTTGATACGAAAGATGAGGATGATGATGGTCATGATGATGAGGATGATCAGGATGATGGTCATGATGAGGATGAGGAGGATGGTCATGAGGATGAGGATGATGGTCATGAGGATGAGGGTCATGGTGATGAGGGTGAGGATGGTGATGATGGTCATGAGGATGGTCATGATGATGGTGATGATGAGGATGAGGGTCATGATGAGGATGAGGGTCATGAGGATGGTGATGAGGATGAGGATGGTGAGGATGAGAGTCATGAGGATGAGGATGATGATGATGAGGATGGTGATGAGGATGATGATGATTGTCATGATGATGATGATGATGATGGTCATGATGATGAGGATGATGATGATGGTCATGATCATGATGATGAGGATGGTGATGGTGAGGATGAGGGTCATGAGGATGAGGATGGTGATGAGGATGGTGATGAGGATGGTGATGGTGAGGATGAGGGTGATGATGATGAGGGTGATGATGATGAGGGTCATGATGATGAGGATGGTGATGATGATGACGATGGTGATGATGAGGATGATGGTCATGATGATGATGAGGATGGTGATGGTGAGGATGAGGGTCATGATGATGAGGATGAGGGTCATGATGATGATGATGATGATGATGGTCATGATGATGATAAGGATGGTGATGGTGAGGATGAGGGTGATGATGAGGATGAGGGTCATGATGATGAGGATGATGGTGAGGATGAGGATGAGGGTCATGAGGATGGTGATGATGATGATGAGGATGATGATGATGATGGTCATGATGATGATGAGGATGGTGATGGTGAGGATGATGATGATGAGGATGAGGGTCATGATGATGAGGATGGTGATGATGATGATGAGGATGGTGATGATGAGGATGATGATGATGATGATCATGATGATGATGATGGTGAGGATGAGGGTCATGATGATGAGGATGAGGGTCATGATGATGAGGATGATGAGGATGATGATGGTCATGATGATGATGATCATGATGATGATGATGATGGTGAGGATGAGGGTCATGATGATGAGGATGAGGGTCATGATGAGGATGGTGATGATGAGGATGATGATGATGGTCATGATGATGAGGATGATGGTGGTGTGGAGGCTTGAATTCTACCCCACAGAGAGAAGGCCTCTGATTTCCGCTCCACTGCTGTTCTACAGTAGAGTCGCTGCGATAATAAAATCTACCATAAACTGGTCTACAATCAAAAAGCATTTAATCCTACTGAATCTAATACAATTACAGAGTGAAACACATTAATTACAGTATCTATAGATATATATTCTCTGCGCAGAGAAGCATCTTTACCCTCATCCCAGCCTGGAAGCACATTGCCCTCACGTTGAGACCAGAGGAAAGAGAATGAATTATTTCCCAGCACTTCCTGTTCACAATTTGAAATCCCCTCCCCTCTTGTCCATTTTAGTTCCTATTGGCTAACTCCAGCTGGCTCCTCCTCCTCTCTCAGCCACCTAGGACCCCTGGTTCGGCGATGCTCCTTCTGCGTCCGCTGAAATTGCCTGTCTATAAATCCCTGTCTTTCCCTTCGCTACTCTTAAACAGTTTAATACATTCAATGACTGTCTTTTATGGCTTAACACTTCTATGATAAACATTCTATATAAAGATAAGGATTTGCAACTTTTGGCAAAAACTTCACAAGTTTTACAAGCATAATCTAAAGGTGCTACAAATTCTACTAAGATATACTTCTAACTACAAATTCTAAAACACTCCTACAATTATGAATCTTCTAATTATGAATCATTAAAGACTTCTATTATAATTTCTTAAAGCACAGTTCTAAACCCAAATTTCCTACAGTGGCTATGATGAGGATGATGATGATGATGGTCATGATGATGACGTGGGTGACTGTGGCCGGGGATCGGCGGTTTGATCCCCGGCTCCGGCTCCGCTAGTTGCATGTCGATGTGTCCTTGAGCAAGACACTTAACCCCAAAATGTCTCCCGTAATGTAATGTAATGTAATGATGATAAGGATGGTGATGATGGTGATGATGATGATGTCACTCTTTCAGTCATAAATCAAAGACGACCAGCTGGCTGGATCCTCGAACTCAGAGCAAAGAGACGAGTCCGTCTACAGAACGTGAGTTTAATTGATTAATTGATTATCGGTCAGCTCTGTCTGCTTCATAGTTAACTGTTATTGGTTTGTTTAGATAACTTGAACTCAGTATTTTCTATTTGTACTTATTTATTTTGATTTGTTTCATTGTATTAATTTAAGTCTTTTTTTATATTAAGCGTCTTTATTTCTTTAGATTTTTGTTTCTCAAATGTCTTTGAATTGGATTATTTTATGTCTCGTTTACTTTATTTTAGTGTGTTCATTCTTTAAATATTGTTTGAGCTCTGAATGAGAAAACTAAACATTTTATTTTGACATTCTCTGCCAGCAGGAGGCAACAAAGACTCACAATTTAACATCCTGTTAGCTTCTACTTTATTCTACTATAATACATTCATCATGTAATACTAATAATAAACATTGTTAATATCATCATTATTATTATTATTATTATTCACTTTCAGTAGAATCTTCCTCTTGATGTAATCAGTTTTTCTAAAACACTGGAGGAATATAAAGAAGTACATCACTCAAATACTGTCCTGACGTATCATTTTAAAGTCATTTACTTGAGTATTTGAATTGTATTCTTATACTTCTGTTCCACGACATGAACTGAACAGTTTTAGTTTCTAGGTACTTTACAGGTTTAGATTTTACAAACAGAAATATAAATGTGTCTAAAGTGGATAACCAGGTGGCTCTTCAGCTGAAGTAAAAGCTCTTAATGTTGGAGGTGTGTTTAAAGGACGTGGCTGTTTACCAGCCTCTAATGTAGGACTCGGAGCAGCTGCATTATGGGAAATGTAGGATCTAGTGCTTCAGGATATCCGTGTCTGTGTCTCAGTCCCAGAGTTCACGGAGCAGCCCGCTCAGCTGAAGGGTTACTCCATCCACACCCGGCTCTCCAAAGGCCCTCGAGGCTTCGGCTTCAACATCGTGGGAGGCAGTCGACCCAGAGAGTTCCTGCAGGTGTACAGTGTCACACCTGGAGGACCACCAGCTCTAAACACAGGTACTGATTCACCTGCTCAGGTGTTTCTATTGAGAAATAATAATTCTAATTAAAGCTGCGAGCAGCATTGATCGGCCCTCGCAACTTCACGCACGTCGAGGGTCCTGGCATCTCTCTGGGTGACGCGGCCATGCATTTCTATAACTTTAGATTGTAGTGTGAAGCATTCATTGTAACGTTTAACCTGA